ATGGAGTGAGAAAAATAGATTTTACCTGAAAAAGCAAGGTTTTTTAGCAAACCTATATCTCAGCTTAGAAGCATTTGCGCATCTTTGCGCTATCTTCTGTAGATGTTTTATATATAGAAGTAGAACACCTGAAATTTTCATTTAGTTTGGAAAAAAATGGAAACCTCATTTTACTGGATACACGTTTTCGGAAAACACTTAGCGGAGGAAGAACAAATATTTTCTCGGTTCTAAAACGTAGTGGGAAAAAATTCTTTATACAAATAGATAGAGTGACAGGTCTAGTTTCGAACTATGTATAATTGTTGAGATTATCATATTCGGTTTCGCGAGAAACAATATTTCTATATTCCTAGTTCTGTTTTTAAAGGAAAACTTGCATAAAGATTTTCTTACTTAAGACGACACATAGAAAAAAACTTCCCGTGGCAATTAAATAGAGCGTATGTTGAAGTATATGACCTGTTGTTTAAATCTTGTAAAAGTGTACTTTCATTTTCTCCCCTAAGGTCCACGTGGTTGCCCACTGTGCATTCGATTACTAGAAAAATGAATAGGGAAAATGTATGGCAATTATGCACATATACTTGACATGTGTTTGATCATTGCAAAAATCCCCTATGCTAAATTTTTTTTATTAAAAACACTTACTTTTAAATATGTATCAGATTTTCCACATTCCGATCATTCTGAAGAACGATGAAACTGTTGAACAGTAAAAGCAAATGCCATCTTCAGGTTTTTGTGATAAGAGCTTTCTTTACTGTACTTGGCACAAAAAAGCGCATATAAAAACAATGGAATTTTTTCTGATGATGGCATTCTGCAGGAGGAATAACGAAAACACGACACATCTTATTTTTTTCCTGCTTACTTGTTATATTCCTACAATAGTTTAAAACAGAAATTTTGTTTTCGAAGATCCTTAGCAAAGACCAAAAACATACTTCATCTTGTTCACGTGTTTTTGCACTATTTTGACTCAAGTGCGGTATGATGATATAAAAATAATGACAAAGTTGTAATAAGATGCCATCTAGCGCCTCAAACTGATACGCTCATTTTTTTTTGGTCAATAAAATGCACAATTGCAAAGAAGAACAAGCTAAAGCTCTTTTTATTAAAATTTCTTTAATTATAATTAAGCGCTATTATCAGTGTGAGTTATGTTGCCACTGGCGCTTAACGAGAGAAGTTTTAATGAAAGTTTATCTTGATTATGAAAAAGTGAGGATAAACAATATGCGACGACTATTTGCTAAAAGCAAAGTGGATCTGTTCACTTTGTTTTTACCTGCTTTTATTTGAATTGAACTCTTCAGGCTGCGTAAACGTAAGTAACATTAAGGAGATGTAACAGTAATTTTTTTTCGCCATAGATGGTCCGTTGACTATATACAGTTAGTGATTCTTGTATTTCACGTACTTTTTATTTTTTGTTAACAGATGTGCAGCTATTTTCTTTTTTAACGAGAAACAAATCAAACTTGTAATCTTTTCTTCTCCATTAACGCCTGAAAAAGGAGAAAGGAAGTTCCTTTAATCGTCAAGACTTAAGTTATAAACCTGCGATTGAGAGAGGTAGAAAATTCTGGCAAATGTGGAGAAAAAAGTTTACCGCATCCACTTTGAATAAATTCATTTTAATATGCTAAGTAACACTGATTGCTCAACCCTATACTAAAATATCATAAAGAATCGCTGTTGACAGATAACATCAAAAATAAAAAATAAGAATACTTGATTGATAATGGAATATTACAGTAACATTCAAAATGTTAAGTCTGAAACATTTGCTATATTGATGTCTTCTTTTCTCATTTAGATTTTTACGTTTTGGAAAATCTTTTTCTTTTTTCTTAGATGATGTTAACATACCGTTTAGCTAACCACCTATTACGATCTAAATCTCATTATCCATGCACAAAAAATTTATTATTTATTTTCAATTCATATCTGAGAACAACAGCGACTGCTCCAACCAAACTTCCTCAAGCACGATGGAAAAAGTATTTAAAACGCTATTTAATATTCAATGCATGTTTAGTAGCAGGTGGAGTTGGGACATACAGCGTTCTAACACCACGTCAACGACGTATTGTACGAGTGACATTTGAAGGCATTTACAGAGGATATAAAACCTTTGCGATCGGATTGGCTATTACAACTGATTACAAATGGACTTTATTCGGATTAAATGAGGTAAATATGTGAGTTTATAAACGGATATTTTTGTTGTTTTATTGAAATACTGCTGTCTATACCTATATCGAAGCAAAATCAACATATAGAGGGTTAGATTGTTCATGGATAATTTATTTTCTTTTTGTCTATTTAGGAGTCAATCGAATATGAATCTCTGATCAAAGAGTGTCATCGTCGTTCAGCTCGTCGCATAGCTAGTGGATGTATTGATAATGGTGGACTTTATGTTAAAATGGGACAGGGACTGGTGACCATGGATCATGCATTACCAAAAGAATATTGTAATGAATTAAAAATATTACATGATAAAGCATTGAGAAGAAGGCGAAATGAAGTATATATCTTTTTAGTGTTATAGAAATTGAACCATGATTTTATTAAATGCTGTTTATTGTTTGTTTAGGTTGAATCATTATTACATGAAGAATTTCAATGTGGTTCAAAAGATTTATTCTCATATATTTCAAAAGAGCCAATAGCAGCGGCGAGTTTAGCTGAAGTTTATGAAGGACAATTGAAGACAGGCGAGAAAGTAGCTATTAAGGTATGATATTTCTTACGCTACATAGTCTAGAATGATAGTATACCACTCTTCAAACCATTATATTCTCTATTATGTCCTATATTTAGTTTTCATCTATTGTATATCTTCTTTTATTTATAGATGCAGTATATTGATTTACAAGATCGTTTTCAAGGTGATATGTTGACAATAAAACTTGTCTTAAAAGCAATTGGTTATCTCTTTCCAAAATTTGAGTTTGAATGGATTATAGGCAGTATTAAAACAAATTTAGAAAGAGAATTAAATTTTATTTGTGAAGGAGAAAATGCGGAACAATGTTATCGACAATTGAAAGAACTGAAATTTGTTTTTGTACCAAAAATATATTGGCATTTGACATCACGACGGGTTCTAACCATGGAAATGATTTATGGATGTAAAATAAATGACGTGGAAGGAATTAAACAAATGGGATTATCCATGAAAGAGGTGAGAAGGAGAAAAAAGATTCGTAATAGTCTGCATAGACATAATCGAAACCAAAAATATTTTAATGTACAGGTTTTGGGCGGAATCAGTATGATCCAACAATTTTTTCCATTCTTTTTTGTAAATTTTGCAAAACTGGTTTACTGCCATGTTCGATACATTGTCATTCGCTTTCGGATTAAAAAACAAGATAGTCGAATCTTTGTTGATGATAAATTGTACAAGATCTTTTCAAGGAGTAGTGAATCTATTTTAAAATACTTTCAGACAAATTAGTTTGCGGTTCTTTCCTCTTTCAATTGGGCAGAATCAGATGACATATTCTTATAAACGTTGAATTGAGTAAGATACGCAAGTTTTCACTGAACCAAGACAAAAAAAACGTTGGTATCCATTACGTCTGTATTTGTATGAGCATTATTGTTGATAGCTTTTAGATGAGGTTGAAAACGTATCCGAAATAAAAGACATCAAAATATGTCATTTCATCTAGTGTAGTATTCAAAGTTAGTTAGCCATTTTAATTTAGTTTAGTTTTACAACTACTTATCAGTTACTAGAGA